TAATCAACCTCCGTACTCACAATGGGATACACTCAAATAATCAACCTCCGTACTCACAGCGGGATACACTCCAACAATCAACCTCCGTACTCACAATGGGATACACCCCAAAAATCAACCTCCCTACTTATAATGGGATACACTCCAACAATCAACCTCCGTTCTCACAATGGGATACACTCCAACAATCAACCTCCGTACTCACAATGGGATACACTCAAATAATCACCCTCCGTACTCACAATGGGATACACTCCAACAATCAACTTCCGTACTCACAATGGGATACACTCCAATAATCAACTTCCGTACTCACAATGGGATACACTCCAACGATCAACCTCCGTACTCACAATGGGATACACTCAAATAATCAACCTCCGTACTCACAATGGGATACACTCCAACAATCAACCTCCGTACTCACAATGGGATACACTCAAACAATCAATCTCCGTACTCACAATTGGATACACTCAAGTAATCAACCACCTCCGTACTCACAATGGGATACACTCCAACAATCAACCTCCGTACTCACAATGGGATTAAACTATCGCACATGGTCGCACATGAATCAACAGTGACAAATAAAGGTATATATTTTCTCATAGAGATGTAGATGTACACTATTTCAACAATCAATAAAAATATCTATATTTAATTATGTTTAAGCTTTATACATATATGTATATATATTCCTAAAACATTGACGGAAGGTTACATTGACTAATCTTATGATGCTATCTAACAGTGGAAGGCTGATATTGAATGTAGAATCTGGCAAAAACAACCATCATTATTGAGGCTTTGATTGTCTTTTATAGTCCTTCGGGTGAAATATGAAATCTCAGCAAATCTGTCAATTATCAAGCTTAATACTTCATAAGGGTTAGACGATTTCAGAACACTCGGTAGGATTTCATTATGATTATACATATGCGTCTGAACGATTCCGTTCAGTTTAAACCTTTCTAGTTAAGTATTGTTCGGTGTAACCACTGACCATTTCGATAATATCATACAGATTTTTTTTTTTAAATTATCAGTTAAAAGCTTATAATTGAGCTACCACAGACCATTTCGAGAATATTACATGTATATAGATTTTTGTAAAATTTTCAGTTAAAAGCTTATAATTGAGAAGACAGAAATATGCCGAGACGATAATTGAACATAAACGTAATAACGTTGTTCAGTATAGGATATACCATTAAGTATATAGAAAAAATAAAATTAACGACCGACTAAAAAACTAGCTGCTTTCACCCTTCACAGGGCTCTTCAGGTTTATTCAAAAGAGAACAACGTCGTGACGTCACAATTACAGGTCATCACACTACAATAGTAACGTGACGTCACGAAGTACACAAGATTGGTGGACAATTTGGCGTAAAATTTTATTGTGGCCTGTTGAGACTCGGTTTTAATATTTTTATTAGTTGGTCTTCTTTCGTTTCTCTTAAAATAGTGTCTGATGAAAATAGTTGATACAAAGGTAATACATTAAATTTATCTCCAGCACATTCATGAATATGTTTGTTAACATGAAGATTTCGTAAAGAATCAGTTCTAGTTTGTTGTCTATGTACAGTCATACGTGTTCTGAGTTCATTACCGGTTTGACCGATGTAAAAATCACCACATTTAGAACAAACGATTGCATAAATTACATTTTTTGATTTACAATTCATATTTACCTTCACAGTAAATTTCAAACCATTCTTGAAAATAAAAGTATTACACTCGATAATCATAGGACATGTAGCACATCTTGGTGTCTTACATTTGGATACTTTTGGTGTTACACAAGAATTATCAAACTTAGAACATGTCAACATACGTTTCAAGTTTTTAGGTTGGCGTCTACAGTGTAAAATAGCATGTTTATTAAAAATGTTTCTCATACGCCTGCTACTTTGCTTTAACTCTTCACATTTGTTCTTTATCACAGGAAACATATTACAATTCCGTGGATTGAAAGTAGAAACAAAAGGAACTAACTTTGATTCATCCTTTAGTTTTTGTAGACGGGAAGTAAAGGGTCCCTTTTCAATAGCTTTCTGTATACCATGTTCTATTATCTCAGTAGGATAACATTGAGCTTTAAGGTATTGCTTTAGTTGACTTAGTCTAGCAATTTGAGCTTGTTGGTCACTGACGATAGTGACAATCCGTGAGGCAAGATTAAATGGAATATTAACTTTAGTGTGTTTACTGTGGTTAGAGTAAAAATTTAGATAATTATGTGCATCTGTAGCTTTACAATATAAATCCGTTGTAATCTTATTTGAATCTAGTTGAACTAAAACATCTAAGAAAGGTAAAGACGTTTCGCTACACTCCATCGTATAACAAATAGAAGGATGTAAAGAATTCAATAGGTTTTGAAATTCATTTAAATCCTTATCAGAAGGCCATATAACAAAACAATCGTCAAGGAACCTTAAAAAATTATTTCTGATAAATTCAGTAAAGTTTTCCCCAAACTTTGTCTCAATCTTAGAATAAAGTGTTTCCTCTAAGTATCCTAAAACTAAGGTTGCATATGTAGGGGCAACTTTAGTTCCCATCGCTGTACCCTTAATCTGTTGAAAGTATTCTTGCTCAAAATAAAAAGAATTACGATTGAGGACAATGTCTAGAGCTTGCAGTATAAATTCATTACTAAAACGAGAATTAACTTTTTCTCGTTTTTTGATCAACCAATATTTAACAGCTTCAATACCAAGATCATGCGGTATATTAGTGTATAAACTAACAACATCAAAAGAAACAAGTTTAGCATTATGTGGGACCTGTTTAGATAAACGGCTCAGAAAATCAAAATCATCTTTGATATAACTGTTTACACTTGTGCATAAAGGTTTAAGAATGAGGTCTACAAGATGACTCAAACGTTGCGTTGCACTATTAGGGCCGCCTACTATGGGTCTAAACTTCAAATCCGTAGGATTTTCAACTTCAATATATGTACAGTTTTGTTCTTCTATAGCTTTACTTATAATAGAGCTTTTGTGGATTTTAGGCAAACCATAGAAATAACTAGTTTTATGCATAAAATTGACAAGATAATCTATCTCCTTTTCATGTAGGCATGCTTCATGTGTCCGTGTTAGCTCGTTGATTAATCTACGGGTTTCCGCATCGAAATCGTCACTTGCCGAAGCATAAAATTCAACATTACTAAGCATGTTATGTATGCATTCATAATAGAAATCTCTATTCATGACCACTAAGTATATACATTGACTTTAAAGTAAACACAGACGCATTTCAGAAACAACTACGGAAGTTACCGTTTGTGTTGAATATATAAACGAATGGATTTTCAAATTCAGCCAATCCGAATCTCCTAAATAATTCACCTATAGTGTAGATTTGTAGATAGGTAGAAAAACAGAGATATTAAAATATATCGGAGAGGGCAATTTTATGGTTCTAGAATAAAAGTACCTAATGAAATGGTCTCCTATATGGAACGAACTTCGTTCGTAACGCTGTTGTTTTGTATACTACATGTACAAGGTAAAGACTTTTTATTTAATAATAACTTTAAATTATTTGGTGTGGTTTATAACGTCAGATAAATAATATGCTATGATTTATCCAATACAAAGCTGTTTCATTTTTGTATCCTTTGAGCAATGATAAATAAGTATATGTATTTTAATTTGGGTACATTTGTACGATAAAAACCACCTTGAAAACTATAAATCTACCTAGTAATTTATGACACAAGTTGATGACGTGATATGTTTTGGTAGTGGTCATTTTAATGTAAATCGCATTTAAAAGTGTTAATGAAGTGGTTGTGTTTGTACGTAATATAGCCAAACTCTGTAGTCGTGGAATACCGACTTAAGTAAGTACAAACGTGGTGGTGGTCAGCAGGGATTGTTAATACATTCCCAAGGGGAGTTGCTCGTAAAACAAGTGAACAGAACACAACGAAAAACTGGTCGGAAATGATATGGATAATTAATTAATAAGGCATTTTTCAAACAGCAAAAGTAACTTTCAGTTATCTGAAAAGGAGCAAATCATAATATACGTGGTTTATACTCAAAACCATGTCCCTTATCTTTAGGCATAGTCACATCCAAAGAATACGTTTTTAAAGGGAATGTAATATGTCATTAGCTCTCTTTGTCAAAAATCTAAAAGCCGAAATGTTTTTTCTCCATGTTTTGAGAGAATACCAGTAAATGGCAACCATCTTTTGGCATTTTTTGTGTGATGTGATGCACGATATGAAAGGTATTATTTGTTTTGTTAGGGATGTGGCATCTTAACCGATAAGGATCATGATATTAAAGACCAAGGCGCACGAGCAGTGCCTAAAACAGCAGTGATGAACATTTCCTATCTTGTGAATATTAGGTCTTGATTCGCCAAGCAGCCGAGGTTTGTCTGTTTAAAATAAAGAAGCCAATAGGAATAGCACACAGTCTTAATAAAGCGGGACGCCTTTCTTCCTTGGGAAGAAAAGACACTTTTGCATATCCTGAATAACCACTTCCAACCAATGATATCACTTTCAACTGAGAAAACATTCACCCATACTTGATTGCCAAATAACCGTTTATATATAGAAATAGCAGCATAATCATTTTTTAACGTCTACACTACATAATGTACAGACATTCTTTTAGCGTGCATACCCATCAGTTTGAACATCGTCAATGTCGTCCTTATTTGTTGCTAGCAAGTCACAGGAAGTAGTGATTCAAAGTTGCAACGTGAACTTTCCATTCAAATGTCGATAGTTTCCACATATGGTATGTATGATTTCAAATAAGATAAGATAATTCTTATGGAAGTCGTTTTGTGTATTTTCAATATCAAAAGCTCTTTTGAAGGTGAATTGAACTAACTATCCGAAATGACAATTAATCATCCTGTAATACTATTTTAATTATTTTAATCCAGCCCATCACACCTATTCATCGTCGAACTATGTTTACACGGATCCCATTCATGGTCAAATTTCCTATTGGATGATATCCTCAAAACAAAATGCCGCTGACAGTGATGAAATATGTAAGAAAGATGAAGGTAAACTTGCTTACATCCCCAATAAAGCAGCCCTTGAGGTTGTTATGGCCTTAATGGACGCATCAGGTGACAGTGGGTAAGTTTACAGATTCACTGTGTTGTTTTGACATTTGTTCTGAAACTCACTATATGAGCATGACCAGACCTAGAAGTAACGCAGTTTGTTAGACTATAATACATGTACCACAAACTCGCTAGGTAACTTGGTTTCTCTTTAACGGCACGTGTTGGACTTGGTCAATGAGAGTATAAAAACATCGCTTCGAATAACGTGAAGAATATATCTATCCGGTTCTCGAGTTGTTGGATCACACAATGTTACACGATGTGCGCACGATGTGTGCGCGATGTGTGAACGATACAAATCTGGACGATTATTGCTGGCGCAAGATGGAGGAAAGTTGTGCGATTACAATCGTGGAAGGTGTACTGTAAATTGAGGAATGGATTAATATTATATATGGTTTCGTGTGTTTAAGCACTTAACTTGGTTTTTTTAATATGTTTCTATATTCTAGCTTCACATATTAGCTGATTTATCTATCTACATTTTCTTAAATTTAGAAACGGTGTTTTCGATGTTTGTTAAACGACCAAAATCGACACATGTAAAATTATACCACATATGGTATTGTCAATAGCCATTTTGTTCATGTACCTGGACCATAGTTATCCTTACCCGGGGCACTAATGTAAGTAGTCAAGGTGTGAAAATCCAGGTGAAGGGGAGCTATAGGTCAAATCCAATGCAAATGACAAATACTTAAAATTTACCTGTGTTTTCATAATGGTCATACGGTATCATACATCGGCTCTCTGTTCAGGTACAGGCCAGGTAAAACTCCGGTCACTCATCTAAATGTCACTTACCTGTTATGTTACCTGGGAGCCAATCCTATTGTTAACAGTCTAACGGTAACTATATATAACACTGTGTAACACGCATTGTAAAATTGAACATATGCTTAATTAATATGATAAGAAATAAATATACAATGTATATAATGTACTTACTTTCGGATTTGTTTTCATTCCTTGATTTTATCAACCAATTGTACAAAATCGCACATTTGTGCGGAGAGAAGAGCACAACGGGACGAACGATTGTTAAATCGTAAAGTTGTGTGCACCGTGTGCGGACGATGTGCGAACGGTGTGCGCACAATGTATGCACGATATTGGCACGCTTTTTTGGTACGTTATGCGATCACAAAACTGTAAAATGACTTCTATTGATATTGGATGCACATTTTAGTTGAATAGCGCTGTTTCGTTTATGTTGCTTTATGGATGACACGTTTTTAAAACGCAGTAATTAATATAACAACAATTGAAAGTAAAATCACATGGTTGAACGGCATGCTTTTTTATATTCATGCCGGTTTGAATGCATATTGGTAACGTCAACATTAACATGGAACCCTGTGGCCGCCATGCAATAGGAATATAACTGATCCGCGTTCATACAAGCGTGGTTATTAAATGCCCTTTTTATATGCCCGTCAAATTTGACGGGAGTATTATGGTATGGGGTTGTCCGTCCGTCCGGCGTATACTTTTGTTTGTCCGGCAATCTCCTACATTTTTCGACTACTCTCTTTGAAACTTGGTATACATTATAATCATGATATGAAGTTATGTCTCTCCTTCAAAAGTTATTGCCCTTTGTTCATTTCAGTATTTGATTTTTTTGTCCGGAGATTTTCTCCTTCATTTTTTTATAGCATGTCAGCTAACCACAATTAAAATGATGCAGATCTTATTTCAATGAAAGAAAGTATATAACACTATATGACATTCGACGGGCGTATTTTGTTCCGCCCTGCGGTACTCTTGTTAACATTTAATTATACAAATTATTCCGCAACGCAGTATTATTTACCATTTAACATTTTATAAATGACCATGCACCTACATGCTTTTTTGAAAAATGTATTATGCACGTGCTCTTTTAAGTGCCTTCTTATGTAATGTAAATGTTAACAAATGAGCCATGTCGAGGAGGAAATCTCTCATGCATATAACTATCGAACCGTTTTTCCTGGATTTATTGTAAGCGGCTTGATAATAAAATGAAAACGGAAAATCACTTGCCAAATTTTTCCACAAAAGATAAGTCAGGTTAAAATAATCAGATGGACTATGTCTTGATGTCTTGTATGCAATGAAAAAGACATCAAATTATAGTTGTGTGATAGCACAATCCACCAAAATTACCGCTTTTATCGTTTTTCATTGATCATGCTCACATCGTGCGCACACTGCAACTCGGGTAACGTTGTGTTATCCCACAACTGTAAATTCAATAATTCAGCATATGTTGGTTTCTTATCAAAGACTATTAAATTCGAGATTTGCAACGTTTGGAAAATACTAAATCAAAGCCGAAGCAACTTTGTCTTGATATAATCTAACGTAACATACGCATTTATTTTATGAATTCTTGATTCTTACTTTGGTTAATTCCAATAACGAATGTATGATTATTTCAGCTAATTTAAAAACCGCCACTGAAAACAATATGCTGCATGTACCGTGAGGTGTTTACTTCAAAGAAACCTGTTATTTTCATTATTTCCTATCACACTAATTGGTATTAACATTCTTCACAAATAATTTGGTTTGGTATCGTCTTTAGATGCATGAATCAAGGAAAGTTTGAGAATTCATATTTTCAGCAATCATTTTATAAAGAGATAAAAGTAAATAAATAGAATGAATAATGAACTTAGAATACTTTGATATAACTCAGTTGTCTTCAGTATCAGATACTATGCCACATTTCGTTCCTGGTATGAGTTTTCGGGTAATGCATTCATTAATAAAGGATTTTCATTAGTAAGAATTTAACAGAAAGTTAAGTACATATTAACAGTTGTATAGGAAAATGAAAAGAAGAAAATGGTATTTTAAAGCTAAACAATCTTACAATGAATATCATTAAGTTTGTCAGTTAGTGTAGTCTCAGAAAGTACTATGTCCGCTGGAAAAAAGAAAAAAAGTGGCAAAATCTAACAGAGGAATAAAAATCATATAATTAAACGGTTCTATTCAACATTAATAATTTCTAGATATGATGCATGAACACTATTATTTAAAAGTCTTATAAACTAAACAGCAACCCAAACAAAGTAAACATAAACTGCATTACACAGAAGGAAATAAATGTCAAAAGAATGGCGATCTGAAGTATTCCAACGTATTTTACAAAATATAACAAATAGGAAAGGGTCCACAAAAAAAACTTTTAATGAGTTTCACTTATAGTGTTTTGCTACATTGAACAGTTACAATTGCAACAGATAATTTGTAACATATTAAGCACGACATATTAAATTCCAGTAACAAGAGTATGGCCTTATATGTTGATATGATGTCACGCCATGACAATTACCATGTACATTAAACAGACGCAAAAAACAGCATTCAACGTATGTATTGAGATGCCACATGATGTTTGTTTTACGAAAACATCATGTTCTCACGTAAATATATGATGCTTACTAACAAAAATAAATAGTCCCGCTCATCGAAAACATATTGATCTTGAACCCTCATGTGTGTTATTTAACGCTAAACCAGTAGGCATAAGGTTTCATCCATGGAGGGGGATTTGTACGTTGTTTTCTTCTTACCGCAGTGTGAGGCAGATTTTTAAAATGAATTACCTGTAACTGAGCCAGATCGGGTAATCTCAGTCGAGGGCTCAGTCTCTGTAACCTAATCCTAACCGAGACGTGAGAAACAAAATCAATTTTACTAAAGACTACAAGTATCCCGTCTCGGGCCTCAAATAAAATTGGCCTCTACACTACTAAAGCTTCCGCGAATAAAATGTAGTCCGTCCTAACCAAGAAGACAACGTATTTCACAGTAATGATTTTATTTTATCTACACCATCAGATACTATCTGACAACATCAAAACAATACATATATCGACAAAACTGAATATTTATTATGCAGATTGTCAATTTCAAGCCCTTAACGCGCGGACGAATACATCGCAGTGTACCGAAATGGCTCGATTCAGCTACTCTTTGTTTAATACTTTGTCATAGATGTGCGAGAGTTTATCTCGATTTAGAAGCGTACCTGAATCGAGTCATTTTAGTACATATGTAAGAACTAATTGTAAATGCGCTTACAGCGTAGCACAACCGACATCAAATTTAGACAACTCGTACACATTTTACACCTTTGTGTACATACGCTTCAATGGTAATTTGTCTGATGAAGGTGACAGAGTGCATACCATACTACATGTTGTCATCGAAACGTTACATAGAAACCCTTATAGGTTGTGTTAAGAAAATAGTTTCATATTCATACTTATCAATTACCAATCCGAAGAAAATGTTCAGAAAAAAAAAAAACTCTTTGAAATCTTAATAGATAAATTCTTCATTATCAACTGATTTACTTGATACTGCATTTCATGTTACCAATACTTATGCTGTGAACTGTTTTCCTGACATGAATATTTTAATCATTCATTAAGCCAAGAAGTCGTTAATTATTCAATTAATGAACTTGTCACATGAAAAGCTTGTTTTACATCTTCCAGTGTTGCTTATGTTGGCTACACAAAGTTCGACGCTAATAATTTGGATATACAAGGCACTGGTCACCTACAGTCATGGTACGTGTGGGACAGTGGTCAGCCAGGAGGGACTGATCAGGAATGTATCGGGGTGTTTGACTACACAAGGAAATGGCACGATTATTACTGTACCCAGGACACAATAGCAGTGTGCTCCACACCTTTCGGTTTGTGTAATTCCATTCACAGAATCAATGAATGAATCAATTAAAAATAGTTTTAAGTTATCACTTATTGGATCATTTACTGACTAGATATGACTTGTTTTCAGAAACATTTTGGTATAAGTAATTTAATGCCTTGATATGATAGTAATATTTTTTGGAGCTAATATGATTCTTCCTTGACTGAAGTATTTACTAATTATTTACTACAACGACAGACTACCACATACCAAATGAAACTACATTATTTATATCCGTTACCCTGGAACTCTTAACGGTAGGGGACACTTTTAAAATATTTCGATACAATTCGAATAACTTTATCAATGAAAACACGTACTTTTTGATGCACAATGTATTTATTTATTCATTTATTTTGATTACTACTATAGTGCCAACAACTGTCCCTACAACAGAAATCACAACAGATCTCTCGACAACGGAAAGCACAACAGTTGTCACTACTGAAGCCACCACCGTCATCGACACCACTACATGTCATTGTGATTGTGATGACAGTCCTAGTTTTGACATCTACCCTGTCGTCAACATCACTGAGGAGCTACAGGCACAACTTGACACCCTGAGGAAGGAAACGAAAGTAAATGAAGAGATGCTATCGTCGACGATAAGGAAGAGGACTAGTGTCAGAGACCCTCGACCCTCCTCTGCCTACGTGGGGTACTTAGGCATAGGGCTTCTCACTCTGATATTCGGCGGAATTTTTGTGCTGGACCTACCGAGAGTCATCATAGTGTTTAAAACATTGTTTTAATATTAGACATGCTTGCCCTGCCTTTCTTTTTCTTTCGAGAAATGCATTCTTAATGTTAGTGTACTAGATTTAAAAACGGACAAATAGCTATACTTTAAGTAGGTCATATTCATTATATTCCATCGTTGAACTTTTAAACTTTTTGGTTTGTATTAATCACAAAACAAAAAATCATCAATTCGAAAGAATGTAAAATAGATAACATTGAAAAACGGTCAAATAGCTATACTTTAATTATGTTATATTCATTATATTCCTTTCTTGAAATTTTTAAATCTTTTCGGTTTGTATTAATCACAAAACAAAAAACCATCAATTCGATTGAACGTAAAATATATAAAATTGAAAAGACTAAGTAGGGATCGTAAAGAACAATAAGACATGCAGTTCTAGGAAAACATACGAAGATAAATTCCCCATGATATTTTTGTTAAATGTTATCTGTATTACAGAAACCGAGGGGGTCGGTAAAACATCGATTATTAGTGTGTAGCTTCGTGTCTTTGTTGAAGATATTTTGTTTTTATTTTGTTTGATTTATTCAATAATTTAATCATTTTTTAAATATAATTTTTAAGATGGAGAGTGGTAAAAATATATCTAAACTATTCCAGTGTTATATCAAGAGGTGTTCAACGGAATGTATTGCTCGTTTCAGAGTCCTAGGTATTTTCATATTTTGCAAAGTTAACCAATCATTATTCAAACAAGAGTTTTGTGCAATAATAATGACATTTTTTTCATCTCGCTTCAAGCATTGATATCAAAACATCCACTGCAATAAACTATGAACAAAAAGAAAAGCAAATAATTGAACCGGTATTAGAATCGTCCTGGTGATGATTAGTGGTTCTAAAATTAACACAGTTGATATACATCATGCGTTGTGACGAACTGGTGTCAATAAGAATAAACCGTGACACTTCTGTTTTGGAATCTATATATTATTGTTGCCTGCTATCTCGTCCCTATATAAATGTGTAATAGTGTGTTTACTGTCTTGTTAATCTGCGTGTCCTTGTAGTACGGTGTTGTCAATGTTGTGATGATATTGTGCAGTATACTCAGATTATAATGTTTTTTAAAATAGCTGTCGCTTTCATAATTAAAGAGCAGTTATTAAATACCGTTGTTTGTATCATTGTTCATATAAATGCACGCATCAAAGTCTCCTATTAAAATATAAAACATTTATAGACGGCATTTGAATATTACTCCGTGTAAGCTAGTGATCATTGAAATATCAATGAATTAACGATTTCCATAATCTCACTTGATGAAGGATAATGATTAAAAATCAAAATTTAATAAAAGTAAAAAAAACAATCAAAACAGCTTCCTTTTTAAAGATTCAGAAGATCAAATACGAACAAAAGTGGTGTTTGTATTGATATTATGTCTCTGCATAAAGCTTGGCTATATCAGAGCATCATAAAACAACAACGATGCAGGTGGTTCGGGTACGGATTGATACTGGCCAGAATACACCACAAAAATAGCCTGCAGCTGAATTAGAAGCTTGGATGACAGTAACAGCAAAGTGAGGAATTTAACTTCAATTCGGGCGAGACAATTATGTAGCATAGGACAGGTCCAAACAGAGATAGACAAAGTATGTTGAGACCTTATGACCCAGTTATCATCGAAGACAAGATGTAAGTGAGCATACCACTGACAGCCTCATTATACTATAACGGGCACCACTGTCACAGTCGGGGTTTACTACAAAGTGTTATTTTCTATTTATAGTATGTTCCGGTATTCATTGAAGATGAGACATTATGAATGACTTTGTAGGGCTTAGAGTTATATTGTTTTCTCAATCTATTTAATTTTTATTTTGATCCTTTGCATTAAGAATTCCTAAACAGTGGCATTGGCAATCGTAGGATCGGCAGTGCATGGTTCCTTAGTGTGATTGCTATAGATATTGCTGCTGCCTTTATTAGTTTCTTTCTGCTTGCAAAACTCAATTCTCGAATAACAATTAAACCTTCTTTAATTTCAGAGTCGGAAAGGGGGGACAATATATTACAAGGTTTGGACAAGTTTCATTAACAAAAGCCGAAAAATATTTAGATTGGAAAATAAATGATTTTGTAAGTCATTATTTGTCAAACACAAATATACGAAATATGTCCTAATATTTACATTTGCATGGCATTGTCACTATATAGCCTCTTTGAAAGCTGTGTCGTTGATGGGACTTTAATTACCATGCATCACGAGACACAATTCTTAGCGTATTAATACAACACTGACCGGAACTACAATATCCAATATAAATAAACATGACGGCTGCTGAAATATCGCTGGGCATTGTGAGATTTGACAATGTCATTGTAAATTTATGTGCAAAATAAAAAATAAAATAAAAAACACTTTTATTACAACGAAAACAAGACCAAGGTCTGCAATATCGTACAAAATGCACATCGGTTGAAATCACCAATGCCGGCAATGGAAACAATTTTAACGCTCATGCAATTTATCAGAAATATCGTCTGTTACACTGCACTGATCAACAGGGGTTCGTTACAAATGTCTGAAATACACATATTCTATAGACCTACTGACACATATGTTACAGACCTACTGATATGAGTCAAAGCACAAATAAACATTTCAGACATTTGTAACGAACCTGTGCTCCGTCGCAAGATCACTCACTTCAAACGCTATCAGTTTCACGCGTCTCGAATCCACCATTCCTTAGTTTCTGACGACATGTCAAAAAATGAGGATGTTATAGAATCTACCGACTGTTGTCAGGTTCCCATACAATCAACAAATACATTCACGCCTGGCTGGATTCTTCACAAAATGAGCAAAGAGAAAAGTTCGAAATTAACTTCCAAAAATAACTCCCTCGTGGAGGGCAAGGTCGGATTTACGGTGTTCACTGTATTTGTCCATGCGCGAACTTTGTTCCTGGGGGAAATCGAAACAATTTAAAATCTAACTTTCAGCTCAGAGTTCTATTGAAAACTTAAATCACCCTATATACATATCATACGCAATTGTATTAATACTGAATTGTGGAATAAAATTGAAGTGTTTGTTAAAATTTCAAAGTACTACTTTGTTTGCCAATCAGCACGCGACAATACGCTGTTCAAACTATTGAACGAAATTGTGTGGACTGTCGATAAGGCGGGCATTTTTAATTTTAAATATAAATTATCAGTTAAAGAATAACATAAGAGGCAGAGAAAACGTAAATATAAGTATTGAACTGTTTTTGTATGGTATTTATGAGCTAGCGCGCATTATGTTGTTTGCTTGCAAAACTGTGTCTTTCAATTAAAGTACAGGCTGTACGTTCTAACTGAACCGTGGCAAAACACGCAGTAACTGTCATTAATGCCCTAAACTCTTTCTTCTGCTCATGTACGCATTAACATCGTAGACACGGAGGTAAACACCATTCCATAAAGAAGCCTTATCCGATAACATATATATCGTTATCATATACTTGTTTAAAATTTAGACCAAATTGCATATGTGATACTGTATTATTCCAATTGTCGATATTGCCCGCCCGTGTAATAACCTATCGATATCAGCCCGCAGCCGGTGATATCAGCCCGCTTCCGGTTATATATCAGCTCGCATCCGGGTCTTCAACACAGTCCGGTCCGGTGACCGCTTCAAATTTTAGAGGTTTATTGTTGTTGTCGTCTGTACGCAGCACCCCTCGTCTACAATGGAGTCTCATGGAGAGGCAGTACTCGAGTCGTTAGCTCAACGAATACTTGAATCAGATGAATTTCACGACAAAGAAAATGACCAAAGGTTTGAAGAGGCAAAGTTTGTTAACATCGAAAGAGAGGACACCGGTAGTTTTGTCGATACCATGAGAAATAGTAACACAAAGGAAAAAAATCGTTTTAAAGGATTTTTTTTCATTAGTAAAATGTATATGATAAAAATGTTATAACATGCCTGTTTTTATGTCAGACCGATTGGCCCTCAACCTATATCAGGCCTGCGGACCTTCGGCCCTTAGGCCTGATATACAGTAAGTAGCTCGGGCCAATATGGGGCCTGATATGAAAACAGACATGTAATAACCTCTAAATATATATTTTAATTTTACTTACTTGTCTCTTCTTACTGCTCCTAATTTTTGCCTCCGAGTTTATCTGTTGCTCAAAGACACTTTCAGGTCGATTTTGTTGTTGATCCTGGTAGGCTTGAAGACTTCTTACCAGGAAGCGGGAGTGAATTTACTTTCCCGAAACCCTATAAATAACTTCCGTTGTTTGACTTGCAGCGGCTGTAAAGTCGGCACCTTAGAGTGACGAAACTAAGAAGCCTTGTGTATAACATATGTGATATTTCGCTTTGCTTTCACACTATTCAGGAAATGTCTTGTATGTTGTATTTTATTACAACAGAGGCCACAACAGATGTCTCTACCACAGAAATCCCAACCGAAGTTTCTACAACAGATATCCCGATAGACGTTTTTACAACAGATATCACAGATGCATCTACGACAGATCCCCAATAGGTTTCTCTACAACAGAAACCACATTAGGTGTCTCTACAACAGAAACCACAACAGGTGTCTCTACAACAGAAACCACAACAGTTGTCTCTACAGCTGAAATCACAACAGGTGCATTTACGACAGATCCCCAACAGTTGTCTCTACAGCTGAAATCACAACAGGTGTCTCTTCAGCTGAAATCACAACAGGTGTATCTACAGCTGAAATCACAACAGGTGTATCTACCACAGATCCCCAACAGGTGTATCTACAACAGAAACCACAACAGGTGTCCCTACAACATAAATCACAACAGGTGTATCTACAACCGAAATCCCAACAGGTGCATTTACGACAGATCCCCAACAGGTGTATCTACAGCTGAAATCATAACAGCTGCACCTACGACAGATCCCCAACAGGTGTATCTACAGCTGAAATCACAACAGGTGCATCTACGACAGATCCCCAAACAGGTGTATCTACAGCTGAAATCACAACAGGTGCATCTAAGACAGATCCCCAACAGGTGTATTTACAACAGAAACCACAACAGGTGTCTCTACAACAGAAATCACAACAGGTGTCTCTGCGGCAGAAACCACAACAGGTGTCTCTAC